TAAAGATTTTATTTATTTATTTGAGACAGAGAGAATGAGAGACAGAGAGCATGAGAGGGAGGAGGGTCAGAGGGAGAAGCAGACTCCCTGCCGAGCAGAGAGCCCGATGCGGGACTCGATCCCGGGACTCCAGGATCATGACCTGAGCCGAAGGCAGTCGCTTAACCAACTGAGCCACCCAGGCGCCCAAAGTCGTTTTTATTTTTTAAGTGAACTCTGCAACCAAGGTGGGGCTAGAACTCATGACCCTGATGAGATCAGGAGTCACATGCTCTACTGACTGAGCCAGCTAGGTGCCCCTCCTATTTCTTTACATAGAATATGAAAAGCTGTGTATGCAAAGATTGAACTTTAATAAAAATTACTCATTTTACTGTCTTTTGAAGGACATTCTTAAGTGAAACTGGCTTTAAAAAAAATTGAGTGTATGGTGGTAAAGAACACAGTTTTACTACTAATAGTACCACTGTTTTGATTCATGTTTGGTTGCCAACAGTTTTACTGTCCCTTGCTTTTGTAACATCATTGTAAATATCAACATAATGAAAAAGGCAAATAATGTCTTGATGCTATTATGATAATGGCTTGAACCCCATACAACCCCTGAAAGAGTCCGTGAACCATATTTTGAGGACTTTTGAAGTAGACACTAAAATATTTGAATAATTAATAAATGAATAAAAACTGTCATGGTATCTACTTATTCTTGCCGCCTTCTGTTTTGTTTTTTTCCTTTTTTTTCTTTTGCTTTCCTTCCCCTATCCTGCTGTTACTGTTGCCTATCATCCTTTTTTTCTTTTCTTTAGCTGGCTTAGACGTCAGATACTCTATTTTTACTCTTCTGTAAATTGAATCAAGCATTTATTGCATTTGTTTTCTGTCAAATCTAAAGTTAATCTTTATGTCTGTTTTCTTTATGGAACATAAAAGGACCTTTAGACACTTTAATCTTGCTCCAGTTATTTTCTCTGTTGTTGTTTTTTGCATTTTAGTTCTACCTTGTTCTGTTGTGAAAAATTTCATACATGCAGAAAGGTAAAATTGGATCGTACACTCTTATATAGCAGCCATCCATATTTACTTACTAAATTTGCTTCATTTAGACCTCTTCTTATTGAAGATTTGTAAAAATTTTAACATTTTATTGAACTTGGTTTATCTAAAATGATTATTTTGACGTATCAGTATAAAATTTTGAGATACTTGGCATCATTTTTTTCATGTCTTCAAAAACTGGTTTACATTTTACACTTGTAGCACATCTCAATTTGAACTAGACACATTTTGAGTTTCTAGTAGTCAGTGTGATTGTGGATACCATTGTTAGCCTAAGTTTAGAAATAGAACTAGGACTAATGGCTGGAAGATACAGAAAAGGGAAGTTTCTATTCTAAAAAAAAACCAATTTTTTAACAGGGTGCCTAGCTGGCTTTTTGGGACTCTTGATCTTGGGGTCATGAGTTTGAGCCCCACACTGGGGATAGATTACTTAAATAAAAATTTTTTTTAAAAATTATTTTTTTTTTAACAACTGGAGCTATTTAACAATGGGATGCATTTCCTTACAAGGTAATGTGGGCCTTGTCATGGAAGTATTCAAAGGATGTTCAGAGAAGGGATTATTCTACATTGGAATAAACTACTGCTTGTTTTTTAATGACCAATTTTTTATTAAAAATTCTTTAAATGCTAAATTTGAATTCAAGTAATGCACATGAAATAAAATTAAAAACTGAGTTCCCTCTCCTATATATGTTTATAGATCTGCCTGCTTTCTTTCATACAAATGGAATCATGCTGTGTATACTGTTTTGCAACTTGCTTATTTTGATAAACAGTAATCGTGGGTATTTTTCTCTTAGCACATATAGACCCCACTCTGTGTTTCTTTTCTTTTCTTTTTTTTTAAGATTTTATTTACTTATTTAATTGACACAGAGAGAGAGACAGCGAGAGAGGGAACACAAGCAGGGGGAGTGGGAGAGGGAGTGGAAGTGGGAGAGTGGGAGTGGGAGAGAAGCAGGGTTCCCGCTGAGCAGAGAGCCTGATGCGGGGCTCGATCCCAGGACCCTGGGTTCATGACCTGAGCTGAAGGCAGTTGCTTAACCAACTGAGCCATACAGCCCCCCCCCCCCCAGTCTGTGTTTCTTTTAAGTTTATACTACTCCGTAATACTATGAAGATATAATACTTTATTTCGTCATTCCCCTATGCTGTACTCTTGCTGAAGTGTTTTTTTTTTAAGAGATTTTATTTATCTATTTGAGAGGGCAAGAGACAGAGTACGTATAAAATTTTGAGGGAGGGGCAGAGAGAGAGGGAGAAGCAGACTCCCCGCTGAACAGGCTCAATCCCAGGACCCTGAGATCATGACCTAAGCCAAAGGCAGGTGCTTAACTGACTGCGCCACCCAGGCACACCTTGCTGAAGATTTTTAAAGCAAATCTGAGGTATCATTTCACTCCTTCAGTATGCAACTCTAATATTTTAATTTTTATAAATTATTAATATTTTCTTATTTTCTTACATAACTATAATTCCATTATCACACCTAATAAAAAGAATAGTATTTTCTTAGTATCATCTCATATCCTCTACAGATTTGTCTCAGAAATGTCTTTTTGTAGTTGGTTTGTTTGACGAGGATCTAGACAGGGCGTATACATTTGGTTGTTAAGTCTTCTGGGTCTCTCTTGTAATCCCCTATCCCATTTTTATGCCATTGACTTGGTTGGAGAAGCTATGTCAGTTATCCTGTGGAATGTTCCTCATTCTGGATTTCTCAATTTGTCATATATTGTAACTTGTTCTTTTAGTGCCATTTAATTTCTTCCTTTATCTGTTGCATTTCTGTAAATAGAAGTTAGTTCTAGAGCTGTGCTGTCCAGTCCTATCTATGTTAGTAACCACTAGTGGCTATTTAAAGTATTTGGATTTAAATACACTTAAAAATTCAGTTTCTCAGTTGAACTAGCCACATATCAGGTCCTCAGTAGCCACTTATAGAGCATTTCCGTCATTACAGAAACTTTTGTTGGACAGTGCTGATCTAAAGGCTTAATGCATTCATGTTCAATTTTTAAAAATTATTTTATTTTTTAATTTTATTTTTGAGAGAGAGAGCACACGTGTGAGCCGTGGCAGGGGTGGGGGGAGGGAGAGAGAGAATCTTAAGTGGGCTCCACGCCCAGCACACACAGCCTGACACAGGGCTCAGTCTGAGGACCCTGAGATCATGACCTGAGCTGAAATCAGGAGTCAGATACTCAACTGACTGAGCCACCAAGGCACCCCTCAGGTTCAGTATTTTTGAGGAGAATACTTCATAGGTGGTGCTGTGTTGCTTTGTATTGTGTCACATCAGAAAACAAATGTCTGGTTGTTCCACTTTTAATTATTGGTTAAGATTGAGAAGGTGATGATCAGCCTGACCCCTCATTGTAAAGTTTACCATGTTTACTATAAATAGTTTTTCTTCTTTCTTTGAAATCTTTCTTTTTCTTATTACATAAACTAAAACTTTCAATACAGTTATTGAATAGAAATGTTGAGTTAGTATTTTTACTTTGTTCCCAGTTTTAGGGATAAATTATTCAGTCTTTTATCATTAAGTATCATTAGTTGTTTTTCATAGATGTCCTTTATCAGATTAAGTTTTAGTCTGCATTTTGAGTCTTTTTATAATGAATTATGTGTTGAATTTTGCCATATGTTTTTCTGTACTTGAGATAACTATATGGTTTTCTCTATTATTCTGTTAATGTGATGAATAATGTTTCTGTTGAATGTTATACCTTATATTCCTGGGACAGATACTATTTGGTCATAATGTATTATCCTTTTATATATTATTGGATTGCTAATATCTTGTTAATGATTTACATCTATATTCTTGAGGGATATTGTTCTATGATTTCCTTTTCTTATAATGTCTTTGATTTTGTTCCCAGGTTAATGGTGAATTTTTCCTGTGTCTTTTTGACATAATTCCAGTTTTCTTTGATAACTTCCATGCTTTTTTCCCCTGTGCATATAATATGTCCTAGACTGTACAGAAGGATGTTCAGCTATTCCCTGAATAGAGAGGGTTCTTCAAAAAAGTACCTACGGTTGCTTTTTCATACTCTTTTTGGTTATCTCTGATATAACAAAACCATTAATAAAGTAAGTTTTAAAACTTAAAAAACTAATGAATACTGAATGCTTTTACTTCGTATTCCTCCACATTTTTTGCCTAGTTTCTTAGTTAAAAAAATATGTTAATATACATTACTGTCAGTTGAGTTTAGAAATCTCAAGGTGCACAGTATTTTTACTACACTTAAAGAAATCTTAAACTCTGAACAAAATTACTAGGTTTTTAGGTATATAGTTTTAAGTTTTTCAGTTTCAGAATTGCCTCACATTATGAGGAAAATAATTCTTTTAGGCATTTTCTTTTCTAGTTAGCTGATTCTCTTTCTGTAGTGGTAAGCCTTGGGAGAAGGAAGGTGGGATCCTATGTGGGGTCCATCAGACAGTTGCAGTGCTATCCAGAATGATTTAACTTTGTTTCTGTAGAGTAAGTTTTTTGGCAGGCTCCTGTAGGATTGTAGATGATGATTGTGAGCTCAGCCAAGCCATTGATTTATAACAATTATTCTGAAATATCAGGTACATTCATAAATGAATTTCAGATCTTTCTATACTTTTTTTATCTTAAAATAACTAGAATTTTATCTCTATTCAGATACTAAAATATTTAGGTTACGTAAGGTAAATCATCTTTGGTTATCTAATCACATAGCTATTAAATGAGAAGATAATTGGCTCTTACGAATCTTTCTGCAGTTCTTAGCTTCAGGTTGCTGAACAAAGTATTTTTTCCCTGTAAATTCAAATCATTTACTTGTAGATTTATATGTAAAAGAACAAATATATGACTGTCTAATAGTGTTAACTTGTGTACTTTGATGTAATAGCAATATGATAAAAGTTAAACCTTTCTTTTAACTTTTTAGGCACAAAAATCTCAAACCGAGAAATCCTGGGCAACAAGGACAGGCACCATCTTTAAGTCAGCAACAACAAGTACTTCCTAAGCACAAGACCAATGAAAAACAAGAAAAGAGTGAAAAACCACAGAAACGCCCCTTGACTCCTTTTCACCATCGTATATCTGTTAGTGATGATGTTGGCATGGATACAGATTCAGCTAGCCAAAGACTTGTGATTTCTGCTCCAGATAGTCAAGTGAGATTTTCAAACATCCGAACTAATGATGTAGCAAAGACTCCTCAGATGCATGGCACCGAAATGGCAAATTCACCTCAACCACCTCCACTTAGTCCTCACCCATGTGACGTGGTTGATGAGGGAGTGACTAAAACACCTTCAACTCCTCAAAGTCAACATTTTTATCAAATGCCAACACCAGATCCCTTGGTTCCTTCTAAACCAATGGAAGATAGGATAGACGGTTTATCCCAGTCTTTCCCAGCTCAATTCCAGGAAGCTGTAGAACCTACAATGTATGTTGGTACAGCAGTAAACTTGGAAGAAGATGAAGCTAATATAGCCTGGAAGTATTACAAGGTCCCAAAGAAAAAAGATGTAGAGTTTTTACCACCTCAGCTTCCAAGTGATAAATTCAAGGATGATCCAGTTGGACCTTTTGGACAGGAAAGTGTAACATCAGTTACAGAGTATGTATTTTTTTAATAGTCACTATTTATAATTTAAGGGTAGAAATGATGTAAGTTCTTGATACTAGGACTCCAGAATTGGTTTCAGGGTAGGATTTTATCATTATATTATTATTAATATATTATCATATATAATATATTATTATAAATAAAACATATATTTATAAATATAAATATTAGTTTTACATAACTTCTTTACTGTGTTTTTTCCTCAGGGAACCTCTTTATTTTGAAATACTAGTCACAAAAAAGTGGAGAAAATAATATCACTTGTCCATCAACCAACTTAAGGATTTTGCATATAATTAGAACTCCTGTGTACTGTTTTTCTTCCATTTTTCCTTTCTCTGTCCTAAATTTGGTGTTCTATACATGTTTTTATACGTGTAGCTCTAGTTAATTCATTTAATTGCTTTATAGTGTTTCTTTGTTATGAATAATACGTAATTTATCTACTTTCTTAAAGATGGACATGTTGGTTATTTTCAGTTTTTTCCCAGTTACATAGGATGTAGCAGTGAACTTTTTTGTACACATGTCCTTGTGTATTTGTATAAGATTTCTCTAGGGAATATGTTTAAAAACGGAATTGCTGGGCCTTGGGATATGTCCATATTCTGCATTAAGGGTCGTTGGCCAGGTTGGCTCTCCACCAGTACTGGTTTACACCCTCATCAACCAGCAGAGTATGAGAATGGTAGTTTCCTCAGTGTTTGGTATTATGAGACTTTTAATTTGGCTAATCTTCTGTATACAGAATGGCATCTTATTGTCTTAATACGTGTTTTCCAGATTCCTAGCAAGATTAAGCATCATTTAAAATGTTCATTGGACATTAAGATTTCCTCTTCTGTGAACTGTCTGTATATCATATTTTTTAGTCTATTTTTCTTTCCCTTTCCCCCCCCAGTTCTTTGCATGTTCTGGCTCTTAATCTTATATTAGTTACATGTGTTACAGGTATCTTCCTCCGTTCTATGGATTGCCTTTGTCCACTTTATGTGTGACATGCTTTGGGTGGGAAGATTTTTTGGGTCTCCCTTTACTATGTTATTCTGATTAAATTTATGTTCTGTCCCATAAGTCTTTTGCATTTTTATCTATAGATTTTTCTGAAAGGTGAAAATCAACGAACAAAACACCATTATATTCATTAAAACTGTCTGTCTTCTTACCAGTGCAAGACCAAGTAGTGTGCAAAGATTATATTTCTTCTCTATTAGTCTGCTGTCAGCAAAAATATTTAGGGTCTTCTCTTTAGTTTAGAATTTTAAAATTTCACAAGAATATGTGCAGGTGTAGTGATCTTTTGTTCATTCTTTGTATTGGGCATTTGCGGTGGGCTGGTTCAGTTTGAAGTCTTTTTTTGTCTTGCTACTGGGAAGTTCTCTTTTTGGATAATATCTGCTTTTTTCCTCCATTCTCTGTGGAACCTCTGTAATTCATATGTTGAATTTCTGTATTTTCTCTCATTTTCCATCTATTTTTTTCCTTTGTATTCTAAGGGGATTCCTCAATTTCTTCTAACCCTTTCTTGAAGTCTTAATATTTGTTGCTCATGTTTTCTTATTTCTAAACTTTTTAAAAAATATCATCCCCTTGTTTAATGTTCTATAATTTTTTTCTTTAGAATTACTTTATTTTCATCTTTTTACTGTGCTGCTTTTATCACTTTTTTATAATTATTTCTTCATACAATTTTTTTTTAAGAAAGAGGGAGAGAGAAAGAGGGGGAGGGGGAGAGGAAGAGAGAGAATCTTAAGCAGGTTCCATGCCCAGCACGGAACCCAAGCCCAGTGTGGGGTCGGGGGAGGGGGGCAGTGTGGAGCTCAATCTCACAATCCTGACATCATGACCTGAGCTGAAATCAAGAATCAGTCGCTTAACTGGCTCAGCCACCTATGTGCCCCTCTTCATACACATTTTAGAATGAAGGAATAGGGGAGCTGATTGGCGGTCCCTACTCATTCAGTAAATAATTTAGTATATACTGTGTATTAATTCCGTACACTGCTTTATGATAACCTTGGTGGGGATGATTTGGAGGGGAGGCCTGGTACCTAAATTCCAGAATGAAGAGGATGTTAGATAATTGGGTCTTTACCAGGTAGCTTATTCATTTTCTTAGAGAAGGAACTCTTCTTATTCCTCCATTTTCAGCTCTTATTTTTCAATTCTGTGTGAAGATACAGGTCCAAATTTCCTCTGATTTTTTTTGAGAGTTAGCTCTCCTGTTGTTTATGTAGGTTGCCTATAGCCCCCTCTTGCATATTCTAGGCCATGACCTTTCTCTGCTGTGTTTCATTGATTTTGAGCTTCCCTGAGACTAAGTAAAATGTCTGGCCCATTTGTAGCCTCTCCCATTTTCCTTACTGTTAGATTTATTCTTTTTTAATATTCTTTATTATTTTAGTAAACCTGTGTGCCTTATCTAGCTCTTTGAATCTTTAAAGTATTCTAGTATTTTTTTTTTAATTGAAATTAATCTGGATTTGAAATTTAGGGACTTTAGGATATCCTTATGATCATGGAAGAAAACTAGATTATTTAATAGTTAGGAGGTCTCTTGAAAGCAAATGATGCCTTGGAAACAAATCTCAAAAGATCTTAATGTTGTTTGTGCTGGATGTAATATAAAATTCCTCAACTCTTGTCTGAAACTACTGTTGGTCTTTCTGTTTCTGGACTTCGCTACATATATTCTATACACAGTAGAATGATCATTATAAGTTAAATGTTAGGTTACTCATTTCCTTTTAAAACCCTTGAGTAGTTTCCCTTTACATTTAGAATAAAATCCAAACTTTTTCCTCATCTGTAAGGTTCTACCCAGTTCCTGCCTAGCTAGTTCTTCACTCTTATTTACTCCTCTCCTATTTGCTTCCTGATTTCATGACATCAGCTTTCTTGCTATTCCTTCAGAAAGCCAACCTCATTCCTAATGACCTTTAGAATTGTATTACAGATGGGGAAACAGCTCACCCCTTCTTATTTAGCCCTGTTGAAAAGTTACCTTCTCAGGAAGTATTTCCTGACCATTTTATCTAAACTATGGCTTTTCTTCACTTCCTAAATCACCGCCTATCTTGTACACTGCTTTCATTTTTTCTTTATATATATCACCTGAAATTACATTATGTATTTGTTAATGATCTTTTCCCAATTAAAATGTAAGCTGTATGAGGGCAAGGACTGTGTCTTGTTTACTGCTGTGTTCCTCCAGCATACACACACACACACACGCACACACACACACACACACACACACCCACACCCCCCAGAACAATTTTAGGTCCACAGCAGACATTGAGCAGATGTTTGAATAAATGAAACAACAATATGGCCCTAGGGTTACTTTATGATTTAAAACTTGTTTTTTTCTAGATTATATTTGCTTATTTAATGTATATAAAATGTAGCATTATGAATATTTTTAGTTTTATAAACTTAAAGGGTGAGTTTTTATGGGCATATCATATTCATAAGATCCAAGAGTCCTAGCCATAACTTTAAATAAGTGTATTAGCTGCTTGTGTGCATGAACATCTGTAAGTGAAATGAAATGAAGGTCTCTTAGAAGTTAATACAGTTTAATTTAGAATCCATTCTGAAATTATTTGACATTTTTCTCACTGAATAAGAATGAGAAGGAAGAAGCATAATGTAGAAAGGTAGCATGCAGAGTAGAATGGTGCTGGGTCATGATTATGTAAATTAAGGAAATAACATGCTTCTGTCTGTTCCTGGTCACCATTTTTCCTGCTTCATAAAAAGAAAGGAAAAGACTGAATAAAAGGATTGTTTTTTTTAATTCTGTGTCTCATGTGAGTATTGTTTTGGTTTTATTAGTTACGAAAATGTGTATTGTGTCACAATTTATTTTTAGATGAATCCTTTTTATTATTATAGTAGATTAGACTATGAAAAATAACACAAAAAAAGTCAACCCTCAGCTTAGCTGCTTGAAATATGAACTAAAACATTTATGGAATATAGTTCTATACTTGATAGGTTACAAGTTTTTGGTTTTATTCTTTCCTTTTGTAGTTAACTGTTCTATGGCTGTAGTTTCTCAATTGGGGCAGCTTCTTTTTCCCCCACTTACCTTCAGGTGACATTAGGCAGTGTTAGAAACAGTTTAGATTGTCACAACATGGGGTGTGCTGCTATTTGGAGGGATGCTGCTAAGTATCCTACCATATATATATAGTACAATAAAGCCCCAAATAGTAATAGTGTTGAAGTGCTTTAATATCATGAATCATTTTTAACAGAAATTTGAGCTCTAGAATAAATTATTAAATTAGATAGGCCAAACCTGTTTACTGATTAGTTTTACTAGGGAGATTCCCCATTCCCCATACTATTTTATTATTCAGTAAAATACCTGGCATTGGCTTTAGTGTTTGCATTGTGCCAAAGCAGAAGTTTTGTTTTGTTTCATATGTTTAAAGGATCTTGTTTGGATAACTTAGTGATTCTGGTCCTGCTATTAATGTTACTTGAGATAGGATGTCATGAGGATCATCAGTCAGATGATACCCCTGCCATTAAAATAAATTCTATTAATTAATATTCTCTCAGTGGCATTTAACCTTAAATTTTTTATAGAAGCATTGTATAGCTTTAAAGATATGATCTTTTCTAGTCCGAGTAATCCATTCAGAAGCCTAGATTTTTTTATATAAATAAATTTCTGAATTCTTATTAGACATTGTAAATTTCTAATCTTTTTCCATACTCTTAAGTTTTGAAAGTGTATTTAAATATATGGCAGTTAATTAGGTGGCTGTTGTAACTCCTATATTCTTTTCACCCTTTTTATTTATTTATTTATTTTTAAAGATTTTATTTATTTGACAGAGAGAGATACAGCGAGAGAGGGAACACAAGCAGGGGGAGTGGGAGAGGGAGAAGCAGGCTTCCCGCATGAGCAGGGAGCCCGATGCGGGGCTCGATCCCAGGACCCTGGGATCATGACCTGAGCCGAAGGCAGATGC